GAACACAAAACCCTCTGTGAAGTAAATGACCACCTTTTTTTTCTGTGACAGTTCCACTGCAACCTAGCAGCTGCCACCACAGACTTTTGAGTCAGGAAGACTTGGGTCAGAAGTGTCTCTCCTTCCTTCACTAGGCACTTGATCATTGGCAAGCTATTAATAAGCAACAATAATGGCAATAATAGCACCAACTAACATATCCTAGGTGTGCACTGTGACTCAGGCATCCACTGACTGATAAAATACTCACAAGAACCCCAGGAGGTGAGTTACCATTGCCTTTGACTCACAGATGAGAACACAGAACCCCAGAGAGGTGAAATGATCTGTCCAGGCTTACACAGTCACGATGTTCAGAAATCAGGCTTCAAACTCAGATAGTTTGGTTCCAGAGCCCATGTTCTGACCACTGTGCTACAAGATACTACCTTCTCTGGTCCCCTCAGTTTTCTAGTCTGTAAATCAGGGGTTATAGTAACGTCCTCCTTGCAGGATGGTATAGAGGGTTAAATAAGATAATAGAAGAGAGGTGTTTAATAATGCAGTGCTTAATAACTCATAGCTGCTGTCATCATAATCACCAGGGGCTGATCCCAACCCTTCCTTTGACTGAGCTGAGCAGGAAGGGTTGTGGTCTCCTCTCTGTGTCTCACATAATTCCCCCCTGTGTCTGGCGCATTTGCCCACAGCAACCTTGAGGCTCAGTCAGCAGCATGCCCACCCAGGCTCAAAAAGATTGAAAAACAGTATAGCATTTTCCCGGAATTTAGAGATACATGTCCTAGGTAATTCCGGACCTCTGGGCCATTGTGGTTTGGTACTTTTACTGCATTTAGCTCCCTTTCCAAGTCCTAGATTTTTTTTTAACTTTTATTTTGAGTTCAGGGGTACATGTCCAGGTTTGTTATATAGGTAAACTCAAGTCGTGGACGTTGTACAGATTATTTCGTCACAAAGGTATTAGGACTAGTACCCATGAGTTATTTTTCCTGATCCTCTCCCTCCTCCCACCCTCCACCCTCCACCCTCCAGTAGGTCCCTGTGTATGTTGTTTCCCTCTATATATCCATGTGTTCCCATCTTTTAGCTCCCACTTATAGTGAGAACACACAGTGTTCACTTTTCTTTTCCTATGTTGGTTTGTGAAGATAATGGCCTCTGGCTCCATTCATGTTCCTGCAAAGGACGTGATCTCATCCTTCTTTTATGGCTATGGCTGCATTGTATCCAGTCTACCACTGATGGGCATTTAGGTTCATTCCATGTGTTTGCTATTGTGAACAGTGCTGCAATAAGCATACATGTGCATGTGACTTTATGATAGAATGATTTATATTCCTTTGGGTATATACTCAGCAGTGGGATTGCTGGGTCAAATGATAGTTCTGTTTTTAGCTCTTTCAAGAATCATCGCACTGTTTTCTACAATGGTTCAACTAATTTTCACTCCCACCAACAGTGTGTAAGTGTTCCTTTTTCTCCACAACTTCACCAGTACCTGTTATTTTTTGACTTTTTAATTATAGCCATTCTGACTGGTATAAGATGGTATCTCATGGTGGCTTTGATTTGCATTTCTCTGATGATTAGTGATGTTGCCAGTATCCAGCATTTAGAAGGAACTTGAACATGTTTACAAGAAAAAAAAAACATTAAAAAGTAGGCAAGGGACATGAACATACATATGGCCAACAAACATATGAAAAAAAAAAGATCATGGAGCATGGAGGCTATAATTCTTAAGAAACTAACACAGGAACAGAAAACATAAAACCACATGTTCTCACTTTTAAGTGGAAGCCAAATGATAAGAACTTATGGACACACAGAAGGAAACAACAGACACTGGGGCCTACTTGAGTGGGGGAGAGTAAGAGGAGGGAGAGGAGCAGAAAAGGTAACTATTGGGTACTGGACTTAATACCGGGTGGTGTAATGATATGTACCACAAACCCTGTGACACGTGTTTATCTATGTACAAACCTTCATATGTATCCTCAAACCTAAAGTAAAAATGCAAAGGAAGGAAGGAAGGAAGAAAGGAAGGAAGGAAGAAAAAAAAAGCAAACTCACACCGAGTTCTGTTTTGTACAATGTATCTGACTCCTCTTCCTAGGTCTCCTTTGGAATATTTCAACTTGAATTTTTCTTATTACTCTCCTCTCCCCTTTTTCCTGTTCTCCACATTCTTTCTCCTTTGTTCCTCCTGTCCCTTCCTCCTCTCCCCTCTTTGCCCTCCTCTTTTCTTTCCTCTTTTTCTCCTTTTGCTCCCTTCCTTTTCTCCTCTGTTCTTTCCTCTTCCCTCTGCCCCTCTGTCCTCTCCCTCTCCTCTTCTCCTGCTCCCCTCCCCTGCTGTGGCTCTGCATTTCATATCTCCAGGAGGCTGGGTGTCATCCCAGTCCCCAGTCCACAGGCCGGAGCTTCTGCATGCAGGGCCTCTCACCCAGTCTCTCATTCATGACCCCTGGGTGGTCCTTGGGGTGTAAGTCCTTCATCCAGGAACACTTCTACCCCATTTGGATTTAGGCTACCCTTGGAGTTAATGGGGCTTATGGTTAAGAAACAGTTTATGGGATGATCTCTCATTCCACCTTTTTGAACAAAGTTGGCATGGATAGAATCCAGAATTTCCACCTCTCTCATATTCTCTTTCCCATCAAATGTCCCCACCTCTACATAAGTTTCCTCCAGGAACAGCATCTCTGGTTTCTTTGTGGAAGGAAACACAAAACAAAGTAATTCTCCATTTAAAGTACTCTCTCCATGCCTACGCCTGCTAACTTGTGGAATAAGGTATTCTGATTCCACCCCTGGGGTATTAAACTGTTCTTTAAGTAAACCCAGAAGATAACTAACAAATAATCCTTCAAATTAATAATGCCTAAAAGATGAAAGTTGCCTTCATACATCCAGTTTATTATCAGTGGTGCAATTAAATTCTATTTTCTGCTGTGGTTTGAGCACTTCACAGCTTGGGAAGGCTCTCTCCTGAGACCTTTGCAGGGGCAGGCCATCACTTCATAATTAGGTAAGCATGCAGGCCTTGCTGCTGGTAGGGAAGGTTCCGGGTTGAGCTCATAAATGAAACCTGCTCAATGGCCCACAAAGGTTAGCAAACGCTGCTTCCACCAAGCAGCTGAGACAGGCCCACAGCAGGGGCTGCCGCGTGTCTGTAGGAAGAGCCAGCTGTGAAGGACAGCTTCTGGGTTATGGCATCCTGTACCTTATGCTATTGACTTGACGTTCTCGTGGATGATGGTATCTCTGCAGCAGCCTCAATTCCCACTCCTCCATTTTGAATTTGTTTCTGACTTTGCCTGCCAACCCTGCACATCCTCATTTTCATTCTTTCTTTTAAGGCATCCTGTGCAGATAATGCCATGGTGGGCCTGTGGGCTATGACAGGGGCAAAGGAACCAAAGAGACATGACAATGTAGGCCTTCGTAGACAAGAAGGGCCCGGTGTTCTCCTGATGGGCACTACATGCCTGGGAGTTTGGGTGAACCTCGCCTTGGGGTAGCTCACTGTGTCAGTCACACAGGACCAGACCATAAGAACAGCTGAAGGAGCTGGTTCCCAGCCCTGCCTTTGCAGCCAGCCTGCTGGGGTTGGAAGCCCAGCTCCACGGTTTGCTGGTTGTATGGCCTTGGAGGAGCTATAGAACATCTCTGCGCTTCAGTTTTCTCATCTGTAAAGTGATGCTAATACTGTTTACCCTGTGGGATTGTTGGTGGTTGAAAATGCAACCATGTAAAGTGCTTTAAGAACAGTGTCTGGAGCCCAGTAGGTACTCAAGGAACACTGCCATTCTGAATGCTGCACAGCAGTGATTAGCTCTCCAAATGACTCTCAGCAAAGGATTTGAGAAGCAAGGCCTGCCGTCACCCTGGCCACCTCTAGGACCATTAAAATTATGGTCGGCTTTATGAAACTTTGATTTATCTACCACTTTAGAGCAATGTAGTTTAGCAGGATCTGTGCTAATCACTCTTAATCACTTCAGGAAGATTGTTTTCCAGAGACTAAGGAAGGGCTCTAAGCCCTGTATAAGGGCTGCATGAGATGTCACTTCTCAGGATCCCTGCTGGAGGCCTGGTTTCCTGCTTCCAGGGCAGGAAGGTGTCTCTTGGATGCAGCCACAGATGCCCCCAGAAGTTACAGCTGTGGGTCTGAGAAGTAAGGGCATACGGGCTTCCACATTTGTCTCCAACTCTCATCCTCGACCCTCCTCTGCCAAGTCTCTTGAACCATTTGGGCAGAGATTTCTTGTGATCACTAGAGAGACACCATGAAAACTACTGGTCAAACAGGCAAAACAAACCTATGGTGATAGAAATCAGAAAAGCTATTATCTTGGTGATGGTCCAGGGGGTTAGTGGCTGGAAAAGGCACGAGGGAACTTTCTGGGGTATTGGAAGTCCTTCATTTCTTCATCTGGCTTATGGTTGCAAAGTACACACACATACAAAATATATATATTTTGATCTGTAAAACCTACTGTCCACAACTATACCTCCATGAACAAATTACTGTCCAACATGTTGCAGGCAGTTCATCTATCTCTTATGGCATGCCTGACCCACTTTATTCTTGAGACACTGAAAGTTCTAAGTATCTGTAGCCATTACACGTCTTTATCTTCCTCCACAAGTGTGTTTATACCCATAGCTTATATTTATATCTGCAGTCACATCTATATATTTAAATCTGGAGAGGAGAGAAAAGTGTTACATGTATGTGTCTATATATAGGACAGTTTACTTCTTTCAAAGAGCAAGAGGATCCTAGCACTTTTTTTTTTTTTTTTTTTTTTTTTAGCAGGACGTTCATTCACACACACATACATGCACGCACACACATGCAAGCACACATATGCACATTCATTCACGCATGCACACACACACACACACACACACACACATACAAGCATGCCCATGCACATGTGAACACAAGTCTGGTTGCCTTTCTCTCTTTTCTAAGTTGAGACGTTACGACTGACCTTGATGATGACCTCAGGGATTATTAGCACGATGGACTTCTGCTTGACCAGAACATCTTTGGTCTCATTGACGCGAGCTGTGACAAAGAAGTGCAGGGACGCCTGTTCTAGCAGCTGACCCATGTACTCGCCGGCTCGGATCAGCACCTCCTCTTTCTTGACTGGCAGGAGGAAACACACAAGACTTGAGACAGGGTCTGCTTTACTTTTCCCCAAGTTTCCCCATCCTTCCCACATTAGCCTAGAAGCCACCAGGAGCACAGCAAAGGGAAGGGGCAAGTGGAACAAAGAGTCAACTGGGGATAAGCTGTCCTGCTTCTTTGGTAAAGAATGTGCTGGAAATTTAATATTCACTGAAGTCTTACTGGAGAAAATGTGTCAAACTTACTAAACAGTTCTTTTGCTGTTGTAAAAGAAGTGCCATGGAAAAGATGTGATTTTTGTGGCAAAGAAACACCAAGGGTTTTTAATGGTGGCTTTGATTTGGGCTGGGATAATCCCCAAATGGTACATGTGGGGTGCAAATGGAACATGAAATCCAAGGCCACAATTCCACATACAATCCCCTTGTCAAATAAGAAGTATCTCACCTAGACCATGGCCCACACTAAGACAAAACTGTCAACTCCCTAAACATTGCTTCTATAGCATTCCACATTTTCTTTCTAATCTGATATGATTTTTCTATTTAAGAGAAGGAAGCTGTTGAAACCACTTTCTACCAAAGGCATTCAAGTATCTCCAAACCTCTGTTTGTGATTTAGAAGACCTCTGTCCCAAACAATTGTTTTCTCAATGGAAACCAGTCACTGATGTCAGATTTCTAGGTCCTGGGGACAAGCCGATGAGAATGGCATTTGGAGGATGGGGAGTGGCCCTGGCTTTCCTCCAATTACCATCCGGGCTGAAGATGGTGAGTTCTATCTCATGGCTCTAGTTTACTTTCTCTCAACTCTCATTTCCCACTGTCCAGGATTCTAGAGAGCGATGGGCAGTTTTTCTGTGTGCTGAGCTCAGGTGTGTACCTGCTGCTACCTGATTGGAGCCAGATGCCTGCATGTGCTGACAGCTGGCAGACCCAGCCGATGAATGGGTGACTCCTTCCTCCATCCCCAGCCACAGGGAACAGACTCTATGAATCTTCACAGAACTGAATACCTATACTGCTTTCCTTCTCAATGTCTGGCTTTTGCCAAAGACTTCTCCTTCCTGTGGAAATTACTGAAGAAAACAGCTTTACGGCCAACAGTTTGAGTGCAGAGGGTAATTCATGTTAGCCTGCTGTACTGAACAGCAGTTTTGTAGGAGGGTGGAGTGCCTGCGGATGTGCATGCACCAGAGCAGAGGGCAGGGCCCCTCACTCCCCACTGCTCAAAGGTGTGGGTTCATTGAGCCATGTCCATCATCTGTGGGAGGAACTCTCACACCTGCACTGGATCTGCAGCAATTTGCCCTGGGCCTCGAAGACCAAGAGTCTTGGAAGGCCTCTGCCTTGGCAGTACTTCTATTTGGAAGTCTCTTTACAGATATATAAATGCTGTGCCTGCTTTGAAGCCTTCTGCCTGAAGACTTCTCAGTCTTGGGTCCATATCACAATCACCTGGGGACCTTTAGAAACCTGCCACACTGGATCTCATTCCAGGCCAATTAAATGAGAGGCTTGGAGCACCCAGACATCTGTATTTTTAAAAGCTCTGCAGCTGACTCTGATGTGCAGCCAGGGTTGAGAAGGCCCGCTCTGACAACTAGGGGCAGCCCTGCAGAAAGCCTGGGTTCCGGTGGGAGGGGTGGCTTTCCAGGCTAAGTCCTTGTTGTTCCTCCTGTGGTCTGAAGACCGGCAGCACCACCATCAGCTGGGAGCTTGTTACAGATGCAGGTTCTCTGACTCCTCACTGCACCACGGAAGTCAGGAACTGCTTTTGAATAAGATTCCAGACAATGCCCATTCAAGTGTGAGATGCTCTGAGAGACAGGAGGTTCTGACAGCAGAAGGTGTAAGTTAGTGCAGAATTAGGGTGGATTGAGGACTGCCTAGGTTTTAAATTGAAAGGCTTGTATCCTGGGAACCCTGTCAATCCCTGGAAAACTCAAAAGGTTGGTCATCCTAGACTAGCAGTTGTTAATAGCGGGCACTGTTACCCCCAGGGTACGTTTCGCAATGTCTGGAGAACTTTTTGATTGTCACAACTGGGGTGGAGGGTGGGTTCTTACTGGGATCTGGTGGATCCGGGCCAAAAATGCTGCTAAATATCCCATGATGCACAGGATGGTACCACAACAAAGTATCCAGCCCACAATGTCAGTGGTGCTGAAACCAAGAAAACTTGCACTAGGGCAGGTGGATTATTAGAATGTATTGGTCTATTTTAGTCAAGTATTAAAGAGCTAGCTTTGTTGGCTTGATTCCTGGGGCAGCGCTATTCCATTTAGATCTGGCTCTTTAAAGCTATGACCTTGCCTTGACCTTGGCCCCCAGGTCTTGCCTTCTGGACTGACCCACTAGCATTGCCTTTTTGGACCTAGGCCTGGCCTTGCTTCCTCCATGGCTCCCCTTGCAACTCATTGTCCAGATGAGTGAGGTTCTGGCCCTGTATTGGTGACGGCCTCGGATGAGCACAAGTGGTCAGTTTGTCATGTCTCCAGATAGGATGGATGAAGTGGCAAAGTGGAAGGCCTCGAAGCACATGTGTTTTGCCTCTAGCTGCCTCTAATAATAATTTAAAAAACCGGCATCCTGTGACTATTTCTAGAGGACTGTGTTTGACCACTGGATTTATTTTGACTACCGGGATATGACTTCTTTGCAGAGGCTCTTGCTACCTTTATAATCTCGGTATCAGGACCCCTTTCTTCCCTGAGGTAGAACACTCCCTAAACCATAGCACCAAAGAAACCAGGCTGTGCTTCAGAGCCCAAGAGAACAGTGCTTCTGAAATAGTATGTTATGTAAGTGCTGTGTTTTGCCACTGCACAAGAAATTGTTCTAGATAAAGTTTATTAAACGTGGCAAGAGAAGGAGGAATAGATTTTCACTCTGTGAGTGGTGGGGCTGGGATGCTGCCAATATCATTTACGGTGTCTGGGGAAAGCCAAGGGAGACACAGACTGGAGCTGCCTCATCTCTTTTCCAAAAAGCAAAGAAAACTAAATATAGCCAAGTGGAAATGATAGCACCTTTGAAGGTACTGAGAGGTTTAAGTTATTCAGATCTCCCAAGCTGATTCTAGCATACGCATTCCCTTTAATCATCAATCTGGAAACTATGCCTCCCATTCTACTTGGAAAACTTTCTTTGCAACAGAGGTGTCTAAGAATGCTTGATCAAGGCCTAAATTTATGTGGCTTTTTGCAATATACCACAATTTATTTTAGATTTCAATTTTCAATTTATTGCATGCAGTGAATGCCACCTGCCTGCAGGGCAAAGGAACAAAGAGCCTCCAGTTCCCTTCAAGTTATTCAGGACAAACTGGGGCTGGCCAAGTGAGTGGGAGACGTGTTCCTATTGACTCAGGCGTAGGTTCGGTCAGCTGTCCCAAATCAGTGACTGAGAGAATGATATCATTCTACTCACCCATACGAGCTCATTCTTTAATTGGATTAGAGAGGGAAGGGGAAGGAGATTATGAAACAGGACTCTTGTGAGGTTGGAAAAGGGCTGGCATTTGGTTCTTTGTCTAAGGATCTGTGCTGGACTCCAGGTAGTGTGGGCACAAGGAAGGGAACTGGCCCAGTTGGGGCCAAGTTTACACTGAACTGGCTCTCTGTCACTGCAATAATCTATTACCTCATTGAGCACACAGATCGCCTCTCATTGCTGTGTCGGGTCTTGAACACATCGACTCATCTTTCTAGCTTCAGTTTCCCCAAATGCAAACATGCTGAAAGTCACCATTTAATGAGAGTTTACCATGTGCCAAACACTTCACATGTATCACTCATTTGGTGTCCTCCACAGCTTCCTTCTCTCACACCACATGTCCAATCTATCAGCCAATCAGGTGGGCTCGACCTTTAGCACATGCCCAGATCAGGCTAGTTCTCGCTGCTTCCATTGCTACTATTAGTACCTCTGAGTGGAGTGATTGCAGAAGCATCCTACCAGTCTCTAAGCTTCAGCCCCGCTTCATCTTTAATCTCTTCGCAAAGAGCAGCCAGTGATCTTTTCAAAACCTAAATTAGATTATGCCACATTTCTGCTCAAAACTGTCTAAAGGCTCCTCTGCTTACTCAAAATAAAAACCAAAGGCCTCATAAAGGCCTACAATTCTTTATATGGCCTGTACCCAACACTGCCCCCTTGCCACCTTTGATCCTGATTCTGGCTACTTGCTGCTCATTGAGCACATCAGACATGCTCTGGCCCCAGGGCCTTTGCACGTACAGTTTCTTCTGGTGGGAATGCTCACTTTTGACCTTCACTCAGGTTTCTTATAAATGTCTCCTATTAGAGAGGTGTTGTTTTCTGACCACCTCCACAAGAATTCCCTGTTCTCCTTAACCTGCTTTACATTTTTCTATTACCCATATGACTATACTATAGAGTCACTTGTTTGTTTGCTTATGTCTGGCTCCCCCTGAGATCAGAAATTCAGTAAGGATAGGCATTGCTGTGTCTCCAGCATAAAACAGAATCTATACTTGCAAGCACTAAATAAAGGGTTGGGAAATGAATCAAGAGCCCTGTGGTGTGCATGGTATTGTTCCCCTTTGCAGATGAGGAGAAAGTGATCAGAGTGCTTAAGCAGCCTGCTCAGGAGACACAGAGGTAGGTGACATAGTTGTTGCTTACACCCAGAGTTCTCTATTTGCAAAACTCTCTGAAATCAAATGTGGCTGACTGTTTTAAACAATCTTGATGACTGTTGTCTTCCTCAGTCCTTTATACTGACTATTCTTTTCTACGAAAATTACCTTTACTACCCTAGGAATAGGAAAAGCGTCAAATCTTTTAGTTTCCAAAGGAAACACTATAGTGATTTCTTAGTTACTTATTTATTTGAGATGAAGTCTTACTCTATCCCCAAGGCTGGAGTGCAGTGGGGCAATCAGCTTACTGCAACCTCCACTTCCTGGGTTCAGGCGATTCTCCTGTCTCAGCCTCCTGAGTAGCTGAGATTACAGGCACACACCACCACCCCTGGTTAATTTTTTGTATTTTTAGTAGAGATGAGGTTTCACCACGTTGGCCAGGCTGGTCTCAAGCTCCTGACCGCAGGTGATCCACCCACCTCAGCCTCCCAAAGTGCTGGGATTACAGGCGTAAGCCACCATGCCCAGCCCCACTATAGCGATTTCTTAATTATTAGCTCTATTACTGAAGCTAGGGAGATTTGCTTCTTTCAAATTTGAGTAAGTTCCTTGGAATTAGGATTTTTAAGCATAGTTTCACATTTTTCTGGGAATATTTTCTGAAACCTCAGCAAGGGTCCCATGATCTGTGACAGCCACCATATCCAGAGAGCTTGAGAGCAATTGAGACTTGTGGCTTGGCCATCCCAGGGGACTGTATTAGTTTTGCTTGCCTTTGCTTTGTCAAAATTGTTATTTGTACACTTTCCTTTTCAGTGCCACATGCCAGGCCAACAGAAATTGGTGCCCCAAAGTACTGAGGTCCTTTGCAACCTGCTGTAACTCATGCTCTGCCCGGAGACGAGTTTCTTCCAATTGATCGGTGTTGCCTGTCATGTGGTCAACTGTTGCGCCCACCAAATATTAACACCCCAGGAAATGTGATTGTTGGCCATTGTAATCCCCAAGGCAAACTGTAGCACATGGATCCCGATCTGCTTAAAATATTCTGAGTTTTTATAGTGATGAAAATGCTGGGAAGGATGTATATGCAAGGACAAGAAAGAGGCCCCACGAGAGATGACAGAGGCAGAAAACCCCTTCACAGGCCTCTTCTAGATGACACGTCTTTGTCTCCAGTCTCCTTTTGTTTTACAGATGGAGTCTCGCCCTGTCACTCAGGCTGGAGTGCAGTGGTGTAATCTCGGCTCACTGCAACCTCTGCCTCCTGGGTTCAAGCGATTCTCCTTCTTCAGCCTCTGGAGTAGCTGGGACTACAGGTGCCCGCCACCAGGCCTGGCTAATTTTTTGTAATTTTAGTAGAGAAGGGGTTTCACCATGTTGGCCAGGCTGTTCTCAAACTCCTGACCTTAGGTGGTCCACCCACCTTGGACTCACAAAGCTCTGGGATTACAGGTGTCAGCCACCACGCCCAGCCAGACACAGCATTTTTAGAAGCAGCCTATGTGCAGTGCCTAGATCTCCCTGCCTTCTGAATGGGAAAGCAAACACACCCTTCGCCCTGGACAGCCCCTAAAAGACTTTCCTAACTTGGGAAAGAGGCACCAGCAGAGGGCCTGTTTCTGAGATGGGTCATTTAGATCCGTGATCCACAAACTCTCCTGTACACTCCAGTCTCCTTGGGATCTTGTCAAAACATGGGTTTTGATTCAGAAGGTGTGGGGTGGGACATGAGAGTCTGCATTTTCAACAAGCTCCTTGGGGAGGCTAATGCAGCTGGCTCATGGACCACACTTTGAGTAGCAAGAAGTTACATTTACTTCTCATAATTCATGGGGCTCTAGGCTTTTAAAATTTCAGCGTTCACTTCTGTGCCTGAGATGTGAAGATGAAAGTGGAGGCTTTTGTGCTGGGCGGGGTGGCTCATGCCTGTAATCTCAGCACTTTGGGAGGCCGAAGTGGGCAGATTACCTGAGATCAGGAGTTGGAGATCAGCCTGGCCAAGATAGTGAAACCCCGTCTCTACCAAAAATACAAAAATTAGCTGGGCGTGGTGGCACGTGCCTGTAATCCCAGCTACTTGGGAGTCTGAAGCAGGAGAATTAATTGAACCCAGGAGGTGTAGGTTGCAGTGAGCTGAGATCGCACCACTGCACTCCAGCCTGGTGACAGAGCATGATTCCATCTCAAGAAGAAGAAGAAGGAGAATGAAAAGGAGAAGGAGAAGGAGAAGGAGAAGAAGGAGGAGGAGGAAGAGGAGGAGGAGGAGGAGAAGAAAGTGGAGGCTTTTGCAGAATAAGTGAGTTCTCCCTGTGAGGCTCACACTTCTGAGTCTTGGGGAGAACTTTAATTTTGACATAAAGCTATAATGGGTATGAACACATAGCAAGACAGGGGCCAGACAGTAAGTCTAAGAGAGAACCACATTGCTGTTAGCTTACAGGACAAGGGCTCCAGCATCACGCTGAACGTCTCCTTCTTGAATTCTGCCTTCGAGACCCCGGTGTAGAAGATAATGTTGGCTGAGAGATAAGCTGTGGTGGTGTAACGCCTGTGGCTTTTGTTCTGGAAGGTGATGGTAAGCTTCAAGTCTTGTCCCAGCACGGCATTTTCCACTTCAAAGTCCATGTCAACATTGGACCTCGATTTGATGACACCTTCTGTGTTGAAGGGCTTTCTAACTCCGTACATCAGGGCAGTTTCTAGGGCCAGTCTCTCTTCTTTTTGACCTGGGGGAGATCCAGAGATAATGCCAGGGAAAAATACAATCCACCAGAGAGAAAGTCACATTAAAAGATGCATTGTATACTGCACTTGCTGGGGTGTTTCTATGATACAAGCTTCAGACCTCCCCAGGAAGCAGGTACCCTCATTATTCCTATGTTATAAATGCTGCAAAGTCAGATTCCCAGAGAGTCAGTGACCAGCCTAGGCTGTGAGTTAGCAGGTGACAGTGTTGAGACCTATTTAGAAAGGGGTTTCTCCGGAGGCACTATTTTAGGGGTTGGCAGATAAAATTGGCCATGTCTGTCTCTTCTTAAACTGTGGTGTTGGTTTGCTTGCCCTTCCTTAGTCCTAGCCATGTGGCTAGAATTTGGGGACCTCTAATAATTGGAAATTATTGCCTCTTGCCATTCTATCTCCTGAAATGTAACTTTTCTCTCTGATTTGTAAATCTCCTCCAAAAAAACCTGTCTTCCTGATCTCTCCTTCCACTTGGGCCTGTTTCACTTACTCTTTGCTGAGCTGACCCTGGAGGGCTCCTGCATCATTCTTCCTTACTTTCCTCAATTGCCATTGCCCCCAATGCCCATGCCATGGCAGAAAGCAGAAATCACTTTTTACCAAACCTTGCATCCCCCAGTCCCCAAGGACACTGGGCTCTGGTAAGACATCAAAAAGCCAACCCCACCCAAGGTGCTCAGGTCAGATCCCTTGGAGGGGCACTAGTGGTCCAGCGTCTCCTGGGGATGTTCTCCACCTTCATTAGGGGATTCGAGATTCTCAGTGAAGACCAGGAGCAAAGACACGTCTTTGCTTTTCTTTATACAAGGCCTCCCGAACTCATCTGACACTGAGTGCAGTTTTGTGAGGAACATCTGTTGACATGCAGTGGTGCACCAAAGTTCTAATGAAGTTGGAGTTGTATGTGCTGTTTTTCAGGAAAATGTTTTGTGCAGGGTTTCCAAAGTGGCTGCGGCAGAGATGAAGGGAGGAAGAGGAAGGTAAGCTCTGGAAGAAGAAAAACATAGCTTTGTCTAGGTGAGGAGGCAGAAAATACAGACACAAGGCAGGCCTCAGGCGGAGCTTATGCCTCAGACACTGAGGAGCTGGGAGGATGGTTCTTACAGAGCCTTGGACAACATGCTTGGCTTTGGAAACAGGGCTCGTGCAAATGTGAGGGACAGCTGGTGGCTGCCATCCTCTTTTCTATCCTAAACAGCTTTGGGTTTATCTTCATGCATCCCTAAGGATAGAGAGGAAAAGATGAAGGCAAATTCCTTGGCTTGTAAAAACTAGGCTTCAGAATGGCTAGTGAAAAAAATCACTTTAAAATAAGAATGCTAGCTTTTATAATTATGCTAATTTGAAGGTATTGTCTTCTACTTTATCCAGTTAATAACGAAACTCACTGGTGACTGAGAGGTCAATGAATCAAAGTGCTAGCTATGTGCCAAGCACTGGGATAAGTGCTTCCTGTGCACTGTGTCATTTAATCCTCGTAAGAACTCTACAAGACAGTCACTTTCCTTGTTTGTAAAATAAGGGTGTCCATGTCCTAGGTTTTGTTAGGTGAATTAGAGATAGTAGATACATAATAAATGGAAACTGCTCTGCAAAGACAGAGAAAATGCCGGAAGGCATTGGATACAAATGTGAATGTGTATTTGTACGTGTGTGTGTGTGTGTGTGTGTATTGACGATTTCCCTGATTGTCAAGAATGCAAGAATGTGCTAGGAACAGTTAGTCTAGGACAATCATCCGCTACAGCACTAGAGATAACAAAAAGGGAAGGAGGGGTGAGGACAAGGGAAGCACAGTGAAATACTTTAGCAGAAATCATCTGGCCTCTAGATCCATGAGAAAGAGAGCATTCATGATGATCACTTTGGATGGGGGCCAATTAGCATTGAGGCAAAATGCAGGAGGCAAATTCTAGCAGCAGGAACATATCAGAGAGGAGCTGAGCTGGCCAAGGTGAGGGGAATGGGAGAAGAATGAGGCCAGCTACGAGCGCCTTCACAGCCTGCCATGGGTGGAGGAACCTGGAGCTTCCTTCTGGGGAAGTGCTGGCCTTTGTGAGCAGGGACTGCCAGGCAGAGACAGGCTGGGGCTGTTCCAGGAAGCGCAGGCTCAGAGAGGAGAAAACAACTGCAGGGCTTTCCCAGAGCCTGCCAGAGTAATTCCTGTTTCTCTACAGTTCTGCTCCGTCCTCTGGAGTCTTACATAATTCAGGGCCACAGGCAACATTTTAGTGCTATGAGAGATTTATCCAAAGCCAGATTATATTTTCTGAGATTCTTCTGCAACTTCTGAGTGCAAAGTCAAAAGTATCCTTCCATTAAGTAGGATATAGTAAAAGAGCCTTTTTATGTTGGTCTAAGCATCTTGTCATTGTTCTGGCTTTAGCTCCACTGTCACCTCCCCTATCTTCCCCCTCTTACCTTGTGTAATGTGACCCCAAACCCTAGTCCTCTTGGCTCTCCTAACATGTAGCTGGCTTTATTTCCTCTTCCTTGTCACAGTACTAGTTATTGTGTGACATTGTCTTCCCTGCTGGAATGCAAGCTCCGTGAGAACAGAGACACGGTATGACTTGTCCACTTCTGCATCCCCAAGCCCTGAAAGCCAGCCTGGCACAGAGGATCTGAAGGACTGAGGTTTGGAGAAGCACATTGCTTTCAGCCAGAGACAAAACTTTCCTCTTCATAATAGGTACTAAATAGTCCAGTATAGGACATTTTATGTTCAACTAAATAGTCCAGTATAGGACATTTTATGTTCTCAGCCCAGCTGAGAAAGTGCCTCCCCGGTAACCATTCATTCAACTCATCTCATGCTTTGGAGACCCCATAGTGTTCCAAATACCATGCTAGGCACTAGGCATAGAGGGGAGACACAGCCTTTCCCTCACAGGTGCAGAAGGAACAAGTGAAGAACAATCGCAGCACAGGTGTGCTCACCACAGATGCTGGGACGGAGGTTGGCCTGCAGTGCCTGGGAACATGGTGGGACAGGGGAGGCTTTTCGGAGGTTTTGGAATCGAGGGCAAAGCCAGGGAGGTAGGTGAGGGGTTGGCTAGTTGGAGGAATTGCCGCAGGTCCCTGGCCTCTGCATACAGTACCTGTGGGGCATGCTCAGGGGGTACACCAACCAGATGCCAAAAAAACACTTAGCAAGAGGCTTTGTGAGTTAGGATTGGATGCCCTGGAGGCCACAGACAGAGAGGGAGGCTTTTAAGCAGTGCTAGAGCAGGCTCAGGTTTATATTTCAGATATTACTTTAGCAGCAAGGCAGGGGCTATGCTGAGGGAGGGAGGGCCTGAGGAGGTAAGGTGGAATTGGGAAGCTAGAGCAAGTATTTTTCCAGGAGAAAACTAATCATAGCCAAACGAATAGATGTAGCATGGCAGGAATAATAAATTTAATAGCAATAGAGGAAACTTTTATTGGACACTTATTATCAGGCACTATATGAAGAGTTTTACACGTCGGATAATGTATAATTTTTAGGTGACCTAGCTGGAGGGGAGGGTATGCATTTCAGAATGATTTCAGAGGGGACATTTAGAGGACGTGTTGCTTGACTCATTATTAAGTAGCTGAATTTGTGGATGGTGGCTCCCTTCACCAGAGTAGGGGGAGTAAGAGAAAGAGACCTGAGGGAGGGAGAGGTGATATTTGGGAAGTTCCGTGCCAGGTTCCTCTAGGACATTCAGGTAAAGTCCTGGTGGAGACAGACATGAGGTGATCAGTATATATGTGAACATTAACACCAGCTATGTGAGAAGAACGTAAAGTGGATGAGAATGAAGCCCAAGGATAGATGCGTAGAATTAAGTGGCCTTTGAAGGGGGTGAAGAAAGGTGAAAAGCTTAGAGTCACAGACAGAGCTAGGAAGAGAGCATCAGGTAGGTGGGGATGGAACCAGGAGAAAGTAACATTGTAGAAACAGAGAAGAGAAAATTGCAAGGAAAGGGAGTGAACCACAGCACCAGGAAGTGTAGGAAGGTCAAGTAAGCCGAAGTCTGCAAGACGTTTCTTCCCTGTGACAACTGGGTGGTCTTGGCAACCTTGAGAACAACTTCAAGGGTATGCTGGTAGAGAAATCGGGACGGAGCGTGTGCGGGAGTGGAGAAGGAACACAGCGGGACGCAAGTCTAGGCAGTGCTCCAGGACTCAAGGAGGCGAGGAGGAAGAAAGAGTGGTGAGAAAAATTTTTGTAAATTTTTTTTTAACACAGCAGACATTTGAGCTTGCCTAAATGCTGATTGGAAGGAGAAACTAGAGAAGGAGAGATGGAAATACCAGTGACCCTGGGAGTAACTGATGGAGCAGAGAGGGAATGGGATCAAGACACCTTAATCAAAGAAGATATATTGCCACAGGAGAAGTCTTTGGAATTCTGGTTTTCAAAGTCTTATCGTTTCTTAATTGGATATTTTGAAAAAAGTTATAAAATTAATAATAAACTTTAATAAGTTGAAGTGAAAAATGATATTTCCATGATTTAATTCATTAAAATGGTTAATTCCTAAATATAGTAATGATTTGTTTCATGTGATTCTACTCATTTCCATATTTCGGTGTCTACACTCAGCATTTGTGGATAAGGGAAATTATGAGAGATTCAATGGTGAAAATCAGGGTGGCAAGCATCGAGCCACGGGCACAACGAGCCCTCGCTGCAAGCCAGTGGCCAACAGTGGCAATCAGTCCCTCTATCCCACTCTATTCAGATGCAGTATTGGTGTTTTTCTCCAAACAACACTCTACTCGGTCATTTCCAAAGTTCCAGTTTGAAATGTGTGTGCCACCCTTGATTAAGAAACTAATTATCCACTTGGGGTCAAACTCCAGCCCAGAAGCAGGATGAGTTGTCTCTTATAACCATCTATGTGGATTTAGGGATTCTTCCAGTTGAACCGGATCCCCATGCTGTCCCTCTCCCTCAGTCTTGCCTCTTTGCTAAATTCTAAAGACCTGCACCTCAGCTGTCTTCCTCATGCAGTATGCACACATTTTGTTTTAATTTGATATCCACCCCCAGCCAAGCCCCTGACTCCTCTTTGGTGGAGTTTTGGTCTTTCCTCTCGTGGCATCTGATTCTGTCCCATTCCTGAGTTGGCCGTCACTGTCACCTCCATGCTGACAGCTAATGGCAGCTGCGCTCAGCTCCGTGGCTTCCACGACACATCTGTCATGCAGACAGCTCACTTCCTGCTGCCCCTTGCTGCCTGTGGGTACACCTTTTGTTCACTACTCTGTCTGGTCAGGACTTCTTCCAAATAGGAGAGTTCACACTACAATCCCTGCCTTGCTGCCTTTTCTTGGGGATCTCTTTCCCCAGCTTCACCTGCCAATTCTTGTGTGTCCTTTGGGCTTAGTGAGCCCATCACTAACTTCCTCCATGAGGCCTTCCCCAACTGCTGATTCTCAGCTGGGAGCCCTTCTCTGTGCCTGGTGGCACCTGTCCACCCTGTGCTAGAGCAATTCTCACCCAGCGCAGCGAGGGCTGCCTTCTGCTTCTCTCCCCAGCTGCATGGGAAGGCAGGGCTGTGCATGTGTCCAGCTCTACGCAGCGCTGGAAGATGGTAGGTGCTAAGAGCCAGCTGTTGTGTGGATGAATGTATGAACGAGTGAATGTTGCAGCTAGCTTTTCTATGAACTTTCTTTTTTGTTTTTTGCTTATCAAAAAGGCAAGTGACAAAAAGAAATACCACCTTTGTATCTGTGTTGTGCAATGGATAATAATAAACAGAAGAGGAAAACGAAGCGTTTCCAAAATACAGTGAAAATTCACCAGTTCACATAACAAAAATTCTGACTTTCTGAGACTATGCACAAGTGTTCTCAATTCAGCAAGCTGCTTCTTTATAGTGCAAATTACTTTTGTAAATAAGAGCAGGGAGACTGTCTAAAATATTTAAAGCAAATTCTGCACTCCTTAGCACTTCATGGATTCCAATGAATATTTAGGCATATGCTAATTACTTGTCATTTTTATCCATTCACTAAAATAAATACTCCTAAGAACCTCTGGCAGTGAATCATTTGCAAACTATTCCATGTTCCCCATCAAGGCACCTGAGGTCCCCCACCTCCTGGCCACTGCTGGCCTCGGGTAGCTTTGTCTCCAGTCACTGGGCATTCCGCGCCTGCAGGACCCTAAACATACCTGGCTGCTTCACACCTCGTAACTTTGGTCGTGTTCCCACTGCCTGGAAGCTTCTGCCCAGCTTTCTTTATCTGAGGTCCATGACTTCTCAAGTCTTTCTTCTTCTGAATCAGTTGGACTAAATATCCCTATTTTTTTTTGTTTCCAAAAACCCCTTGCACGATAACCCTTTCACTCGGACCAGGACAGGAACTGGGTCCTGCTCACTGCTGGGATCCCCAGCACCAAACCAATTGCAGGCATAGAGTGGACACTCAGCACTGATTGAGATAGAATTAAGCTCAGCAGTGCCATTTGAAGCCTTCTATACAGTAAAAGTTAACAAAACCCCACCATGACATTATTTTATGATTGAAACTGGCCTTTGACCTAATTGTCCTGAGTTAGAGAGATTGTATTGTCCTATTCATATTGTATCATCTACCTTATAGCTTTCTATGATAGTGTAACAGAACAGTGTATGTGAAAATAATCGGTAAGTACTAAACAAATATGAAGTGATTATTTAAATTTCTATTATTTAACTAAAATTACATTCGTTGTACAGTGATTTTTAAATAGAATTATTTAAAATTAAGGTTCTTGTAAACAAGAACATATTCTATATTCTGTTAAAATAGATATGACTTTAAACCAAATCATTTCACAAGCCACATGGATGAGAATTCTGCCCAAAGCAAGCTAGCAAAGAAAACCACAAGGAAAAACTGCCTGTGTTATGTGTCTTTCACGCTTGAGAGTTTGTACTTCTGATGTTGCTACCAAATGCTGCAGATGCCAGTGCATTCTCTGGAACTCATCTCCGAGTGACAACGAATAAGTACTAAACGGACTTGGGCAAATAAATCTTCATTCAGCGGTAGTAAATTACCTTCTTGAAATTTGTAAGTATCAGTGATATCCTTCATGCCATCTCCTCCAATTTGTTTTGTCACAATTAATTTCCCAATGTGGGTGGGATCCACGGCTTCCACCACATGAGTGCCATCTTTCTTAGCTGTAATGTAAATGAGGTCACTGTTGACCTGGAAACAGGAGAGGAGAGCGTTAGCTATGACCACTGTCTGTTGTTGCTAAAGTCTTTAACTGTCCATAGCACAGTCGTCTAGAGATCTCTGGAGCTGACATGACCTCTTCTTAGACAACATTGGATTCGTATCCTAGGGACAAATGGGTTTTGGAAATATTCTAAGGGGGAATATCTAGTTTATTTAATAATATTTAAAATAAAGGTTATTTGAGGCCAGGCCTATAATCCCAGCGCTTTGGGAGGCCGAGGTGGGTGGATCATGAGGTCAAGAGATCAAGACCATCCTGGTCAACACAGTGAAACCCCATCTCTACTGAAAAATACAAAAATTAGCTGGGCATGGTGGCATGCGCCTGTAGTGCCAGCAACTCAGGGGGCTGAAGCAGGAGAATTGCTTGAACCCAGGAGGCAGAGGTTGTGGTGAGCCGATATCGTGCCTTTGCACACCAGCCTGGGTAACAAAAGCGAAACTCCGTCTCAAAAAAAAAAAAAAAAAAAAAGGTTATTTGAGGCTGAGACAATAAGTTGTCTAAGCAGCAATATTTTTTTCTCTCCGCTGTCTTCCTGATAAATCCTACCTTTCATGGGAGAGAAGACAACACCATGCCACCATGCCCATCGCTTGCTTCCCTGGTCTTTTTCGGACTAACAGTGGCTATATGACCTACTGCCAGGAGGAAGAGGAAGTCTGTGAGGTGGCTTCTGGGAAACACTTTTCCCCTTTGAAAAAGGAGAGAAGTACATGGGTGAGTTTTGTCCTTCCCTTTCGGCTTTCAGGTGTTTTCCGGTGAAGCGAAGGGATGCTTGAAGCTGCTGTGGTTATCGTGAGACAGTGAACCGAAACACTGCCGACAATAAGAAGGTGGCAGAGTAGAAAGCTGAGGGGCATTTGGAGACTGGGGGACTTAATGATGCTAAGCCAGCCTCAGGACCACCTACTTCAGGATTCCTTATATGAGAAAAATGAGTCCCTATCTGTTTCAGCCACATTAGTTCTGCTACTTGAAGCCAAAGGTATTTAAATTGAACAATAATATTAGATGATCTAGGAGGAATTCAGGCTATTTTCTAGTGGTTCAGCAACTAAAATGTGCTATTTGTGGGACTCGGAAGTAGTGTCATGGGGCCATGGTGGCTGCCCCCAAGCTCTCCCAAGAGTCTACTTCACCATTCTACTTTCTAGAGACAATGACTAATGTGTGCCTGAAAGCTGACTGTACCAGAGTCCTTTATTACATATTTTACAATCCGCTTTCTTGAGGGTTCCATTTATTGGAAGCAGGTAGGAAGCATGAATTGTGCTGCTAATAGTCATTGATGTATTTATTAAATGTTTCCCAATCTCCTCTCCAAGCCTCAGTGACCTAGTGTTTAAACAGGATGATAATAACTCCTTCTTCATGGGATGATTGATAGAATTAACAGAAACAAATGCATGTATATTACTTATCTCAGTATCGGGCATAGAGTAAACATTCAATAAATGTTATCAAAAATAATGTATTATTTAATAGTATTGCCAGTTATTGTTCCAAGATTCAGAATCCTAATGATGAACAAAATAGATTTGGTCACTTTCATTATAGAGTTTAAGCTCTAGTAAGCATGATTCTGTGCATCAGAATCACCTGGTACACTTTTTAAAAAACAGATGCCTGATTAAGGAGGTGGGACCTAAATTACGTGGGACCCTAAATCCATTACATTTTACAAAAGGTCTCAGATAATTCTGTTGGACATTCAGGCTTGAGAAGCCCTGTGATATAGTACAGTAAGTACCTTGAAAGAGTAAGTACAAGATACTTTGGGAGCACGTGGCTCATTGGGGTGAAACCTAGATGGCATGTGAGAGGAATGCTGGATTCACTGCAAGAAACCTGGGTTCTGATAGTGGGTGTGTCCTTCTAGAAAGTGCATGTTAATCTCTATGAACTTCAGTTCCTGATTCTATAAAATAAAAATGATTAAACTTGCTCTGCCAATTTTATGGAAGCATTTTAGGTTGGAGTGAGATAAGATCTATGTGAATATGACTTGTACATTTCAAATTTGGGTAACAACACAATAGACATCATTAGGTAATTAATGGGGAAATTTGAAGATGTATCTCTAAGTTTTAAGGTTGAGGTTAAAGAGAGCAATTTTACTTTCTCACAAAATGTTCTGAGTGCACATGAAGTCAGATTTCTACTAAGGAGGAGACAGCCAACATTTATGGCATACCCACAATGTTTCAGAGACATTGTATAAAGGATTTAGTTTGAATCTCACAACAACAAACCTGTGAGATATGTACTGTAACCATATTATATATGAGAGCACCAAGACTTAGAATGGTGAAGCAAAGTGTTTGGTTTCTTGGTTGGGAGCTGGTGGAGAAGAAATGCAAGCCCTGGGCCAGCCCATAGCCCGGCCCTTGGCCTTCATGGCACACTGATTCTCCCACACCACCCTGCGGGAGCATGAGCACCAGCTTGAGAGGTGAGATGGTTCCATGCTTGTGGCTCAGCTTTCTTAGGGTGATATATGGTGACCTTCCTCCTCAGCAGAGTAACCAGAACTCGGTGGTGCTAGCTACATGTTGTGAGAGACTGAAATGTGAAGTCAGGAATCAGGATAGGAGAGGACACAGCAGATACCTGTGGAATATTTGTCATTTTAGAAACTTTAAATGAACTGCTTGAGAATTCTGTCATTCCTTCTGGAGGAAGCCAGGCCAGCACAAACAGCGACCTCCTCCACTTTCAAATTGTAACAACAATAATGAAAACTATCTTCTTAATAACAATCCTTACAACAGCTTATGGTTTTCCAGGGAGATAAGCTAAATATTAAAGTGGCTAAATCCTGGGCTCTTTTTGAATATGGCTTAAGAAATTTATGTAGGCTAAAATCTCAGGACAGATCAATAGCACTGTCCTTTGTGGAGAGAGGAGATGAGAAACACCTGCGTGGGATGGATTTTGTATATGTGTGTTGGGGTGGAGTGTGGAGGGAAACTATTCTTTCCCAGTGACATTAGCAAGCTTTCATTTTGGTTTCAGCCTGTAGTGTAATGGTTCTTTATTCTGGCTGCACTAGAGAATCATCTAGGAGCTTAAAAAAGCATCAAATGATTGGCTCCACCCAAAATCAATCAACTCTGTATGGTAGAACAGTAGCTAAGTTCAGGGTGTATGGCAAGGAATATTGGACTTAGGCTATGTGGCTTTGGATGAGTTACTGAATCTCTCTGAGCCTTTCCTTGCAGGGCTGGTGGATTGGCAGCACTTGTGAAAAGTCTATATTTAAGGCAAATTTCTCTTCCTTCTTTTGAATGTAATGTAATGTTAGTGATCACCTATTCCTATCCCTACACTTGAAGGGGCTATTGTCACACCAAACCTGGGCATTGGTGCATGAAATTGGGTATTCTTTTATTCTTTTCACAACACCACACTCTTGCCTCTCTAGTACAGGCACTTCCTATGTAGGAGCCTCTACCATCGGTCAGGGCCATAGGTTCTCAGCAAAGCTGGGGTGGGCAGTAGGCTTGGGGTCTGCTCTCAGCAAATGTCCGCTTGGGCCCGTAAAGTGTGAATATTTGTCCACAGGTGGCAGAAGACATGCTCTTCCCCACTGAGGATAGCGGTGTGCTGTTGCTTTCAGGACCCTGGACAGAGTTTGCTTTGGCTTGTTCATTTGTTCCCAAATAGAGATAACCTCATCTGCATGCTCTGCAGAGAAAAGGCTGCTTCTCAGAGGGCATATGGAGGCAGTGAATACCCTCCTGGGCCAGGAGGCCTTCCTGGTGCCAGACTCTAGACCCTGCTCTAAGCAATGAGAATACAATAGCCCCTACCTTCATGGAGTTCACATTTTAGAAGGGAGAAAAGGAATACCCACTAAGGTAGGAGTATGAAACAATCGGGCAGATGGTAGTATTTTAGGTGGTGAGGGTCGTGTGAGTGAAGGCCTCTTTGAAGAGGTGAACAGAGCAGAGACTTGAGGGCAGAGAGGGAACAAAGCATGCAAAGTGTTCTTCCTCCATAGAGTGAAAGATAGTGAGGGGAGTTTTGCTAGCAAAAGAACAGTATGTCTAAAAGTGCTGAAACAAGAACATGTGTGGATGCTTTCAGAAGAGCAAAAATCTCAGTATGGCTGGAGGGAAATAAGCAAGGGATGAAGTGGATGGGAAGCTACGGAATCTTGTAAGAATTTATGTTCAATTTTATTATAAGGGTGGTGGAACTCCACCAGAAGGTTTGGGGCAGGAGCGTGATGCTTTTATTTACATTTAAAGAATAATTCTGGTGATCCGTAGAGAATAGACAGAAAGGGAGTAAAAGAAAGATCTGGGACATGAGTTAGGAGAGGACTTGATGTATCTCAGTGCTGTTCAGAGCTCAGAGGGTAATGACAGAGATTGTAGAAATGACTGGATTTATGATAATTTTTGGAAAGTATTTTTGGCAAGATGCATAAGGTAGGTTAAGAAGAAAAGCTAAAATAATCCCAGTTTTATATGCTATTTGCATAAATGACTGGATTTTTTATAGTAAGTAAAAGATGACACAAATGGGCTGCGTGTGACACGATAGTAGCAAAATAAACAAGTTTGAATTGAGAATGAATAAATAAGAAAACATCTGTACATGTTGTATACAGAGAACTTCTGGCCCACAGCTGAGGAAGGCTTAGCTTCTGGAGCAATGAGGTGGTTGCCAGAGTCCCAGGGAGCCAGTTATTGCTGCCGTGAAAATCATCTCAATGCCAAGGAGGTGCCAGCAGGCAGGATTATGCTCATGTGTGGGTGCATATGGGTGCATGCATGCGTGTGTGTGTGCACAGGTGTGTGTGTATGTATGTGAGTTTGGGGTGGAGTGGTATGATGAGGGCAACAGAGTTAATGAGAAGTTAATGAGAACCACGGACAGAAGAGAGTTATCTTTGCCAAGGAGACAGTTCTTCTCTAAGAACCCCTGAGGGCTTAGTGAACATGGGATCTTGGAATACGACTCCAGACACTTAGAGCAGCTCTCCTCTCCTCTCACCTCTTTGGAAGCCACCGTGGGTTGGGGAGATAAAAGGCAGATGGGCCTTCAGAACTACAGGAACCCACTGCAGCAGTGAGGGCATGGGAAGGGAGGGGTAAGAGAAATAAGCTTCAAGCCCTGGCAGAAATCCAGAAATGTTAAGGGTAAACTTCCAAAGGGGAGGAGGAGAGAAAAAAGGAACCGAAGGTAAGACATTTTACAGGCAAACCTCTCTTCTTTTTAGGCTCTGTTTCCACTCACAGAGACTAAGGCCCTAGGAAAACTAAAAAATAGTCAATGAATATGATGCTTAATCGAGCCCGGAAATGAGTAAGGAATGACCAAGAAAGTCAGCATGCTGGGAGGCAAGAGAAGACAAGCTGACGCAGCAAGGAGGAGAGAGAGCAGAGAGAGCCGCAGACTCCAACCTGAGTCATGTCGACCCGTATGACAGTCTCCATGGGGTCCCACTGCAGGCACCCTTGAGAAAAGATTCCTCATACACTTTTCTTCAGCTCAAACATCTCTTAAAAATGGCTCAGCCCTGGAGTGTAGCCCATGCCAAAGCAACAAATTGTACCCTCTGTCAGGCACTCCTCTGCAGTGGGTGAGAAAGGAGTAATTATAATCTGCAAATCCTGATGACATTCATAACACCCCGATCTATATTTAATAATGGCAAAAAGCGTTTGCATTTACAGCTATTAGGCAGCTCGCTTGTGGGGGGAGGTCCTTCTTCTCTCCTTCTTCGTAGCAATAAAGCATAATAAAAAGATGAAAACAAGGCTTTGTGGGTTTAAAAATGATCTCCTTGTAAGAGGTTCTCGTAGTAACATAAACTATCAAATGGCAACTGGGGAGGTTTGTGGAAATCTTCAAATCCCAAAGTGAAATTGAGGGGATAAATTTCCAAGTCCAGTAAGCTCAGCCTCCCAAGGCTTCTATAAGCCACTATGGCAGGTACAATGAGAGGAACACTGGTCCTTTTGTGTGTTTCAAATTCCTGATCTTGCTGTATGAATTTTGATGCTGATTTTGCCTTCTAAATATTAATATTTCTCAGTCCTGCCTCCTCTTTTCCTCGTTATGGCCATTTGTCTAGCTCATGCTCTTTCCATCTCTGGCTTGGAAGGATGACCAGCCCTCTAGATGTTCCCCACAACCTCGTGACAACCCCTCCAATCCATGTTCTACAATGCTGACAGCACCCTGCCCAAGTCCCCACCCAGTGTCCTTCACATACAGGAAGGACAAGGAGCAAGTTTCTTATGGTGTGAGGTACCCCACACTGAGTTCCCTCAGCCTCCACCTTCCAACACCCCGATGAATCCTTGGTGTTCTAGTGAATCTGCACAGCTCTTTCCACTGCCCCCACACAGCATTCAGATGCTCAGCTCTTCCCCCTGTGTAGCACTCCTCCCTTCCTGTGGCTTGTTTCTAACCCTTTGCCTATTCATCCCTCCTTCCCATGTGGTCCCACAGTTCTCTGCTCCTGCTACCTGGGGATACTTCCACAGGCATCCTCACTGTTTCCAGGTCGTCCTTCCTTCCTAGACAGTGTCTTGTGGTCTTTGCCATCCTGCTTCAGTTCTTGGCCTCTACTTATCAACTCATGAATCTGTATGAATGCAGATCTGTGTTCTATAAACCACCCACCTAACAATTAATTCCATAGCATCACTAGTATTGCTGTCATTTCATGTTTGGTGTGTTTATGCCATCACACCAAATATGTGTGTATTAGAAATGTTTCTTAAAGACTTGAACCTCAGAATTCTCCTCAGTACAGTGCCTGGTGATCATTAACAATAACTATTTATTCCTCCTAAAGTATAGAGTGCAGTGGTCACACGTACATGTTCAGTTATCTGCCTGGCTTCAAGTCTTAGCACTGCTATTTATTAGCTAGATGATTGTGAGAGTCACTCAACCACTGTTTGCCTCAATTTTCTTTTCTGTAAAATGGGGACAATTATATTATCAGTTTTAGAGGGTTGCTAAGGCAAAGTGAGCAACATTATTTCAGTGTGTTTATTGGTGCAAAAATACCCTGGGAAAGTCCTGCCTCTCAGTCTTTCAAGTCTTCCAAGTCTAGCAGCCCAGCCTTCTCCTTTACCCAACATCTTTTACATTTAATTTGATCTTCAGAGTTCTCCTTAAGTATCCTTTAGTAACCTCTTCTGCTTCCATCCCCTGCCTAGTTCCTCTGAAATTGCAGAACCTTTGCCCAGGCATTTTCATCAACCCTGTAGGTGGGCTGCATTCCTCCCTTAGAGCAGCCTCCAGGCTCTTCTTCCTCCTTTGGCAACTCAACCACCCTCCCTGGTCACAAGCAATGGTGTGGGATGGCAGGACATAGATTTCCAAGCCCAGGATAAGACCATGATTCAGTGTGTATATATGGATTTGTCCTACATGGATTGCTGGGCTAGTCCCAGAGGGAAGTAGCGTGTCCTCAAATTTCAATTCATGACCCATCTCTATCAATGGTTAGTTGAGTGATCCATTAGTCAAATAATTTCTCTGGAATAGTTGATACCTACTTCATGGGTGTCAAGAACCAAGCTAATGTTAGTAAAGTATTTACTTTTGAGGGCAGGGAATCCCAAAACATCAAGGAAAGAAAAATGTTAAACAAGAACTGCATTTAGCATTAAAAGCTTGGAAGTTCGAATGATGCCTAGTTACCTTTGTCAACACGAAGCATACACTATGTAACTGGAAAACTTAGAAGTAATAACTTTTAGTTTGTTATTTCACATGTTAAGAGGCTGGGGAGGAAAACAGCACTTTGCTCCAGCTTCCCACTTACCTCTGCAAAAACAAAGGGTGCATCAAATTGGAAGCAGACGTGGCCGTGCTTGATAGCTTGAACCGAGGCAGGGCCACACCGAAACATGCCTGCATCACACAGAGGAAGGGTGGCGTGAGTTTGTCATCTCCAATTCTGTCCAGATACTGCAAGATTCATGGCACTGAGGGTGACTCTATAGAAACCAGTGTTCCCAACTTCATTGCTGACTTAGTCCAAATGCTTTCCAAGGCTCAAGAGGGTTTTGCTGGCCATGCCTCCTCAAGCCAAAAATTGAAGCCGTGGAAATAAATACAGCCATGGAAATAAATACAAAGCAACACTATTCCTGCATCTGCGCTGCCACCTATAGACACATACGTTCCTGCCAAGCGGGTGTCTTACACAAGTATTTATCTCTTCTTCAGGTGGTATCTGAAATGTTGGAAATGTTGACGTGTCCTCTGTGGTTGTGTTGCTGTTGCTGTTTGTTTGGCTTTTTGTCTTTTGTTTTTGGATATTATGAACATATGTCAAGTTTAACAGGAGAATTTGGACATTACCTATGCATTTTGACCATGACCACCATGCATTTAGGAAGTCAGAAGTCCCATGTTAGTCTTCTAAAATATTTCAAATTTTAACCACCTATCCATGGTTAATAAGAGATTAGCTGCCATTAGTCCCCTCCAAAGTGTTCCCATAATATACATACCAGAACACCAGAAAGTGCTAAACTTTCTTCCTTAAAACCTGGGATTATAGTATGGTTCTATATTATATGAGTATGCACTGAATGTTTATGCATATGTCTGTGTGTACCCATCAATATATCAACACCTGAGGAAATAAACATAATATCCACAGTCTACTGATTCTTTATATTATCAGATTAAAGAGAGATGGAGGCTTATGATGGGATTTTATAAAAGTCTGGAGAAGGTCAGAGCTGCAGCTGTTTAGCATAGTTGGCAAGTTAGAAGACGAATACCCACATACTCCAGCTTTGGAGGAAATCACACGACATAAAAGGAGGCCAGGTTCTGGAAAAACAACAATTTAAAGGATGATCTATAATTATGTTTCGAGTTCTCGATTTTCTCTACTGCCTTATATCTTGTCAGTGCATACCATGAAGGGCTGAAGTATATTTTATAGCCTAGTAAAAATGCTTACAGATATTTTCTCTCCTGTCTTCAAAACTGCTTAGCAAAGCAAGAATGGACGAATTATGTTGTTCTATATTCTTTTTCTAAAATTTGTAAAATAATCAGGGGAAAGCTGACTATTGAAATGAAATTAACCTGATTGGAAGGTAGCTAACACTGTGCATGTGCCCAGGAAGCACGCTTCAGATGTCGGCTCCCAACAGGCATGTTTCCCGCACATCAAATGCAAGCAAAAGGCAAAATAAAGATCAGCAATGAAGCAATTTCCCTGAGGGAGGAGACGGTTTTACCATCGCTATTTTCCTGGGGGGTGCTGTCCACAACCTGCCAGCCTCCAAATCCAACAGGAAGGTCAGGTCTTGTCATCCATGCTTCATTCCAGCAATGGTAGTTCCTTAGAAACACAAACCCAGAGAGGTTAAACTTCCCTTCACAACCAATGTGCCGAGAGATCAAGAAGTGATGCCAAATCCTGTGCATATGCCATCTACAGATAATTGGAATTGTTAAGCCAAATCTGGGGGTTCCTGGAAATATTCTGGGGGTCTAGACTTGAGTTATCTGGGCAGATTCATTCTTGTTGGTATCTCTGGGGGCACTCACATGGCTTGATGTCTCTCTCCCCCTGCTAAGAGCAGCTTCAAGGCCACCCAAAGATATTTGAATCAATGCATTAAACAATTTTAATCTTAACCATTCTCTGCTGACTAATGAAACAGAAATTACTATATACTGAAGGGGTAGGGAAGAAAAGTTAACCAAAACTGAAATATTTATTTTGAACTTTTTAATACAATTCACATTTAGAAAAAGCATTTTCCTTTGTGGCAATTAAGCAATAAATACTTGTGTTTATGGTCTTAGACCACTGCCATAGAAACTATCACAATTATCACTGATTATAATTTTCTATAATTTTCATCTTGTGTCCAACAAGAAGAATAGGTTGTCAGGGTGAATATTTCTACCCTTTAATAAAGGTGGGAAACTCAGGAGCTAAGGGCCATGGAAAACTTCTTAGAACTTTGAATATGACCCTGGAAGCAAGAGCATTGAATAAAATGTCATCATGAATTGTATTATTATGTCCTTGGAAAGACCTCAAATTATATGACAGTACAGAATCAAATGAGAGCACATTAACCCCTCAGCACTATAGAAAATGTTCATATAGTAATAAAGATTTAATAATGCAGTGAGGTAGTTACTGCAGTCTTTGTTTATGGCACTGATGAATTTCAGGTTCAACTACCATGGGTCCTTTCCCTAGATGCACTTCAATGTCAGTTGTTTGCCCATGCTCCCATCTTTCTCTGAGTGCAGCCCATTTCTGATTAGCTCAAGAGATATTAATCTTACTATGTACCCACCATGCACTAAACACCTTGCTAGGTGCTGTAGATTCAAAGATGATCGAAGTATAGATTCTTACCCATAAAGTCCCTCACAATCTAGGAGAAATTACAAACCTGTAAACCAATTATCAAAACTGTCGTAGGTTTGCTGTGAGACTTAAATAAGTTAATACATGTATTTGAAACAGGAACTAGCATGTGTTAAGTGCTCAAAATGGTAATGCTCAGACTTCAAAAAATAATTAATTTAAATGATCCATGGTTTATTTGGGGTGCCATGGAATCTCAGTGGAGCAAACTGTCAGGGTATTTGGGAAATGGTATTTGAGCTGAGGCTCAAAAGATAAATGGGAGTTTAGGAGGTCAACAAAAGGAGGAAGAACAAAGTTGCGGTGGCATGAAATAGCCACCATGGTGTGTTTTGGGAACTGTCTGCTGTGTGTTGTGGCTGAAGCATAGCACATTTGAATATTCAGGTGCATAGGAAGAGAACAGTGATGGCAGGCAATGCATAGAACCAACAAATACACATAACACTTCCTTAGTGCCAAGTGCTGTTCAAAAATCCTCATGCATGTTAACATATCTCATGTCCTAGTACCCTGTAATAGCAGTCTATTCTTTGAAGATACACTAAAGGCTTTGGAAATTGTAGCTGCAGAAATTCTAATAGTCTATACAAATCTGGATATAATGATTTATGTTCTTCATTGCCAAGGCACAGAAGAGGAGAAAATTCTCTATCTAACTCCAGAGCAAGAAAAGGATAAATCTCATTCCACAGCCAAAGAGACAAGACAGGAACGTGAGCTTATTGAGAGCATGCCCCTGTTGGAATGGTTTGCTAACAACTATAAAAAATTTGGAGCTAACATTGGAAATTGTCACAGATAAATCCCAAGAAGGGTCTTAGTTTGTGAAGGTATTTGATGGAATTGGAGGTATCCTGCCTTATGAGTAGATTTCCAAGGAATGGAATACCAAGGAGGAGACGATGAATTTTTTGACCTTGATGACTGCTAGGTAATCGACAGGAGTCCGGCAAAATGGGCCTCACCCGCCAGCATCCAACCCAAGGAGCATACCCATGGTGGAATCCAAACAGATCCCTGCCTTACAATTGGCACATTTCCTAAACCGAATCCATAAGCATTGGATGCTGAAAAGAAAACCGAAACAAAACCAGACCCAACCCTACATTTCCATTTGTCATGGTGTTGGTGCAGCAGTCTCAGTAGAGTAAAGTGTCTGGGTATTTGGGAAGCGATATTTGAGGTGAGGCTCAAAAGATCAATGGGAGTTTAGGACCAAGTTCCTAAATGCCACTTTGGACTAATTTTAATAAAGAATCCCAGTTTTTACTTGGACTTGATGGTGAAATTGGTTGCTCTTGTACTTTATGAAAAACAAAATGATTTTTTTAACCTTCATACATGGAAGCAAAAATACTTTAACTGCTGTAAACCTTTAAAAGTTAATAGAAATGAGATCATACTGGTTTGTTTCTTATTTTGATTGGAGAGAAATTAAATTCCTGCATTTTGCAGTGACCCATTTACATGGCATTCTCAGCTTGGACTGCATAAGAAGAAATACATGTGGTCAAATGTTGGAACCATTTCTCTCTTGGTCTCTGTTTAATGTTAAAAGGGTGAGCTAAGAGGAGGCAATTTCAACTTCACTCCCTCATGCTACCCACCCCACGCCCCAGACTGGCAGTTTAAAGGATGCAAATTGCATTGCAAAATCAAACTGATTCATGGAGCATTTGGGCCGGTATACTGTTTACTTCCATCTGTTTGCAGACACATGTGTACCCAGTGTTTGGGAACCCTCTGTATCAATGTTCTGACAAAGGTCCCTATAACTTTAACCCACTGGAAACCAGTTTGGGATGGATATGATGGGGCTTCTGTGCTCTTGCTGAGATCGGGAGAAATAAAACATGCAATTTAAGTGGAAGTGAAGAAATTTAAAGAGTTTATTTTGAGAAATTTAAAGGTTTTATTTTGCTTGGGTCAATCCTTGTTAAAAGGGAGGTAGACATGTTTTCCTTGTGTTGGATGGCATGAGATCATGTGAATGTTTTGATTTATTAAAACGAACTGCAAGGTTTTTCACAGGAACAACAGACGTGTATGACTGCCTGTAATTATAAACTGCTGACTGCCTGGTGGGGTTGGAGCATCTGTTTCAAATGTGGGACTTACAAGAACCTCCCACATGAGAAATGAGGGGTGGGTGGGAAGAGGTGGGACACACCTTCCGGCACCATGGATTTAAGACCATGTTGGACCCAAAAGTTGGCCTGAAACCCTGAAACTTATGCTTCACAGCTGGCCTATAAGTCAGACTTGAACCCAGCTGACATGCAAGGTCATGGCATGCCCATGGTGGTGACAGTGAACAAAGTGTATAGTAATGTGCCCAGTGGTAGCAATGGAAGAAAGCATACCAACTGGACTCGGAAGTACCAAAGCTTTTAAAAGTCAATTGGTATCACCTCCACACTGACTAGGGCGGTGGGGTGCGTTTGGTTTTCAAAGTGATTACTTATAACACTTTAGTGCCTGACTGCAGTTCTTTACTGACTTGATTCTGTCACTTGTAGCTTTATTGGTCTGAACCAGCTCCTTGTTCCCAGGTTACAGGCCTGCCTATTGTTCCAATAATCTTATTTCACTTGAATGAAGGGAATATGTCTTAAATGTAAAGTTTCTGGTTCTCACACTGTACTCTGAGGTCCAAATACCATCTGTCAATGTGTAACCTGATGCCTCAACCCCCAGTGAGAAGAGTCGATTCTTTGGTGTTTACCAATGTGGGACACTTCACCAGCACAGGCTTTTTTGCTTTGGGCTCTACTATTTGTTTGCAGAACACCCAAGAGCAAGCAAACATGTTCTCTTCACATCAGTACCTTAGGGTTTTGCCGCTGTAAATTAGTCTGATGTGATATGACAAGACCAGAGAAATTGGATATAAATTTACATTTTTGAACATGCTTGCTGTTTCACATGATACTTTTAAGGTATATAGCTCCTTTTGTGGTTTTTATTTTTACTATTTAAGTTTGGAAATGGTGCCAAATTTTTGTATTTCTTTAATCAATGTATTCTCTTCAGTGATCTATATTGCAGTATATACTGAGGTGTGTATCCAATATATTAATATTTATTACACTTACACATACAAATGCAAATAAGAGGGGGTGAAAACCATAGCCTTTGCAATCTCTATAGCCTCTACAGACAGATTCGAAACAGCAAAATCTTGGTGTTGTGATGTACAGAAATGGAGAAGAGTATTAAACCATATTTAAGAAAAGACAAAACCATTCTATTATAATTATTCCCAGTTTACAGGGGAGGAAGTTGAAAGCCGGGAAGGTTAAGAACCTTGCTGAGGTCACACAGCTAGTTAGTGATAGAGCTCTGAAATCCATGCTCTTCAACACTGAGCTATGATACAGGTGAGGAGAAGTTTGTGAACTCCTTTGATGTCAAATTAAACATTTGGGCTTTATTCTTAGGCAGTAAAAAGCCATTGGAATAATTTAAGAAGAAGAGGTAAACTTGTAAATCTCTGTTCATGAAGATGGATGGAGAGACAAGGCTGGAGGTTCAACTACGTCCTCCCCTGCTGCCCCCCACCCCTGAAGAACTGCAATAGTCTGCAGTGGAACAGAAAGGCATTCAGGTCGCCATCATCATGAAGAGGGAGAGGAGCTATTGGGAGGTACAACCCACAGGTTTAGGGAGCTATGAGGGACTTGGGTGAGTTGGGGAAGACTTTTGCCTCTCCAAGGAGTATGATGGTTTTGTTTACCAAGACGGTGAATAATAAAGGAAGAAAAGAAAGTGTGTGTTGAGGCTGGTGGTGATGGGTGGGTGATCAGCCCAGCTCTGGACAGGAAGAGCTTGAGTGCCTGTGAGAAATCCAGGAGGTGAGGTCTAAGAGGCATTTTTGGCTACACTTGTGATGCTCTGGATTGGATGAAGAGGAGGAGGAGGTTGCGGGAGGATTGGTGGATGGCGGA